CAATAGGCCAGGCAGGAACCAGTTAAAATGTTTATATTTTGCATTCCCTGAAACCACTCACCCTCATTAGCCTGTTAATGACTTTAAAAAAAAAAAAAAACATGTTTCCATGACATCTTATTTTAGACCCAGCGACATTATCACTGGGTCTCTCCGCTTCTTTATGCAATATAGACAGATTTTGGCTGGTGGGAGGGGCCAGCAGCAAACTGAAAACATCACAGCACCTTACCTCTCAAGAGCCCTTAGACCTGATGCAAGGTGTGGGCTGACTCTTGGGAGGAGGTAAAACAATACAAAAAATGCTTTGAGGGGTCGATGTCAGTCTGGGCTTTCCTAATCAGGATGTAATTGCAAGCAAACCACTCTAGGTGATCCCTACATGTGACACCGAGCCTCCCTGATTTACATAATTGAAATCCGGAAAAGGAAAGAGGCAGGTCAGGCACAGACCAACTGAGGAGAAAAGGGCTAGATGATGCTGGAACTCCTCTCCAGCCTGGATATTAGGAGGGTTCTGACTTCCTTCAGCTTCTAATGCATGTTGTAAGAAGCTGACAGTGTGCAGTGAAATCAGAGTAAGTCATTTCAGTCCAGGAGAGGACCGGTAAGGAAGGTTAGGAGGGACCCCACTGTAAAAAAAAAAGTGTGTGGGGTTCCCCTTTAGGCCTGGTAAGACTTTTAAGGGGAACCCCACCCCCCAAAAAATGGGGGGAAAGAAGCGTGCCCCCCCAAAAAGAAATTCCTACCAGAACCTTGATTGGAGCACAGGCCTGGAAGGCCAGGAGGGGGGGGGGGGGGGTTGCTTGGCTCGGCCAGGCCACATGCCCTCAACATGGAAGGGTGCTTTGGGGCAGGGGCTCCCAAAGCACCTTGTCCCCATGTTGATGCAGACAAGGTCCTCTTCCCCACAACCCTGGACTGTGGTTGTGGGGGTCTCTGGGGGGTGGTGACTTATCGTAATCTGGGGGCCCCCAGACCCCAGCCCCCCCCCCTTGTGTTTGGGTATGGGGTACATGGTACCGCTACCCATTCACCAAAAGAGGGTAAAATGTGAATAAAACTGCAAACGTTTTTGACAATTCCTTTATTAAAGAAAAACGTTTTCCCTGCACTTTAAAGTAGCTCTAAAGGTGTTTACCTTCTATGTATTCTATACATGAAGGTAAAAAACCTTCTGTGTGCAGCACAACCCCCCCAATACTAACCTAAGCCCCCTCTCCATCCAGCGATGTGCACTGGAGTCTTGGCTATCCCGGGACTCCCTCTTCTCATTGCCTAAGACAGAAGCGGGAGCCATTGGTTGTCAATCACAGCCAGTGAGCCAATGAGAAGAGAGAGGGGGTGGGCCCGAGCCACAGCTCTGTGTGTGAATGGACACACGGAGCAGCGGGTGCCCCCATAGCAAGGTGCTTGCTGTGGGGGCACCGACAGGAGGGGAGAGCCAGGAGGACCCCGCGAAGAGGAGGATCTGGGCTGCTCTGTGCAAAACCACTAAACACAGCAGGTAAGTATAGACATGTTTGTTAATTTTTCGTAAAAAAAAAAAAAAAGCGTTTGGAGTCACTTTAACCACTTCCCGTGCGGCCCATGTACGCAGGGGCGGGTGGCTGTTTATAAACATCCTCCCGCTTCTTTGCCTGTGCACGCTCCCTGGGAGCTCGCGGCACTGTGATCCGGAGCCCGCTGTGACACCGATCGCTGTAGGGGGCCTCTGTGTGAGGTCCGGATCATGTGATCACTGATTGGCCAATCAGTGATCACATGCAGAGTAGTAAGCAAGATGTCACTTCCTGACATCATTGCTTACTACTAGTGAAATCTGTGAATGATCACATGGACAGGGCTATTCACAACAGCCGTGTACCATGTGACAAGCTGTGACCAATCACAGCTCACACAGTAGTTCTCAATGGCTGCAAGAATGCAGCCAGAGAGGAGAAATGATTGCTTTTGCATCCTTTATGGGTGTAAAAGCAATCAGTGTAAAAAAAATAAAATCTTCCTCACCCCCCACAAGTAGTACAGTGTCACCATGGTGACACTGTACTGCTAGGGTGACAGTATGTTAACAAAAAATAAAAAATAATAATATAAAAAAAATTAAATAAAAATGTATATTATAATTTTTTATTATTATTATTACTAAAATAATTATAATTTTTGGTTATAAACTAATTTAGGTTATTTTTTTTTTTTACTAAAAAGATTGCTGAATACATTTTGGCCAAGATTTATGAAGAAAGATAATTAATTTGCAAAATTTTCTAAGAAACCCACTTTTTTTTTCAAAATGTTTGGACTTTTTCATTTACATAGCAAAAAAATAAAAATCCCAGCGGTGAATAAATACCACCAAAATAAAGTTTTATCTGTCTCAAAAAAATGCTAAAAAATTCATATAGGTACAGAGTTGCATGACCGCGCAATTGTCATTCAAAGTGTGATAGCGCTGAAAGCTGAAAATTGGCCTGGACTGGAAGAGGGGGAAAGTGTCCGGACTGGACAGGAAGGGGGGGAAAGTGTCCGGACTGGAAGGGGGGGAAAGTGTCCGGACTGGAAGGGGGGGAAAGTGTCCGGACTGGAAGGGGGAGAAAGTGCCCGGACTGGAAGGGGGGGAAAGTGCCCGGACTGGAAGGGGGAGAAAGTGCCCGGACTGGAAGGGGGTGAAAGTGTCCGGACTGGAAGGGGGGGGGGAAGTGTCCCGACTGGAAGGGGGAGAAAGTGTCCCGACTGGAAGGGGGAGAAAGTGTCCGGACAGGAAGGGGTGAAAGTGTCCCGACAGGAAGGGGGGGAAAGTGTCCCGACTGGAAGGGGGGGAAAGTGTCCCGACTGGAAGGGGGAGAAAGTGTCCGGACTGGAAGGGGGGGAAAGTGTCCGGACTGGAAGGGGGGGAAAGTGTCCGGACTGGAAGGGGGGGAAAGTGTCCGGACTGGAAGGGGGGGAAAGTGTCCGGACTGGAAGGGGGGGAAAGTGTCCGGACTGGAAGGGGGTGAAAGTATCCGGACTGGAAGGGGGTGAAAGTGTCCGGACTGGAAGGGGGTGAAAGTGTCCGGACTGGAAGGGGGGAAAGTGTCCGGACTGGAAGAGGGGGGGGAAAGCGTCCGGACTGGAAGGGGAGAAAGCGTCCGGACTGGAAGGGGGGAAAGTGTCCGGACTGGAAGGGGGGGGAAAGTGTCCGGACTGGAAGGGGGGGGAAAGTGTCCGGACTGGAAGGGGGGAAAGTGTCCGGACTGGAAGGGGGGGAAAGTGTCCGGACTGGAAGGGGGGGAAAGTGCCCGGACTGGAAGGGGGGGGAAAGTGTCCGGACTGGAAGTGCTTAAGTCCCTCCCCCCCCCAATACTTGACTTACTTTGTTTCCAGCTGCAGACTGCGTTTTGCGTATAACAGACTATATAGTATAATAGACCTGATATCACAGAACATTTGTCAAATTTTTAAATTAAGTTACTTTATTGCAATTGAAGAATTCAAATTAAATTTTAAAGTAAACAATATTTTTTGATATTTCTTAATTGCAGTTCTCATATTCATTTGAATTGACTCTGATGAATGTGACTGATAAAAAAAAAGAGGCCAAATTAAGGAGATTTACCATATAGAATAACAGAGTTCTGTTATTTTTTATAACTCGTTAAGTGGACCTGTTATCAGATATATTTGTCATGGTAGGTACAGCACATGCATACTAAGGGGTATAGTTATATAAGAATTCACAGAGCCCATTGCCCTCTGAAACTGCATTTGTTCAGTGTGAATGGGGGTAAAATCGAATATTCCTACAGAATAGAGTGAATCAGGAAAATGTCACATTATGGTCACTAGATGGAGCTGACGATCATAGTAACCAAACTGGTTCTAAAGGCAGAATTTTTTTTTTTTTTACCTTAATGTATTCTAGGCATGAAGGTAAAAACTTTGTTCATGCAGCTCCCCCCCCCCCCATTCCCCCCAGCCCCCATCTTATACTTACCTGGGTTCCATCTCGATCCAGCTCTGTGCACCAGAGCTGAGGCTCTCTCCACTCTCTCCCATTGGCTTACACTGCTGTCAATCACAGCCAGTGAAGAGAGAGTGGGGTGTATCACAGAGCCGGCTTGAGAGCAAGAGGAATACTATGGGGGCACTTAGTAGGGGGAGGAGCCAAGAGCAGTGGCAAGGGGCCCCAGAAGCAGAGGATCAGGGTTGCTCTGTGCAAAACCAGTGGACAGGGTAGGTAAATATTACTTGCTTGTTATTTTTAAAAAAATAAAACGTATTCCTTTCCAATCACTTTAAAGCCGAGTTCCACCTTAACAAAAACTGTAGCTGCTGACTTTTAAAATACAGCCACTTACCTGTCCCTCGGTCCAGCGGTGTCCTCACCATGGCTGGTTTCACCGGCCGTCTTCTCTACCCAGTGCCGCCATCTTTAGTGTGGGCACCCGGCTGTGACAGCTTGCGGCTTCACAGCCGGGTGCCCATTGCGCATGCGTGAGTAGCGCTGTGCTTTGTGAATGGCCCCGTAGTCTTCTAGGACCTGTCACGTGTCCCAGAAGACTACGGGGAGGGGGGGGGGGGAGGACGAATTCCGCTTCCGATCACCTAGGCCAGGGGTAGGCAACCTGAGAGCCGCAGGACTACAAGTTCCATCATGCCTCTGCAAGTCATAGCTGTAATTCTCAGTTTTGTAATGTTGCAATCATGGGAAATGTAGTTCCACAGCAGCTAGAGAGCCGCAGGTTGCCTACCCCTGACCTAGGCAATTGCAGCGCGGAAGTGGGAGCGGGTATATGTCAAATTTGGGTACCCCCTCGCTCCCCAAAGGTGCCAATCCTTAATGGGGAGTGGGGGACAAAGGCTTAAAGCAGAACTTCCCCTTTTGGGTGGAGCTCTGCTTTAAGTCATTATTTCCTATAATCATCAGCTCCATCTAGTGGCCATTACATTTTTATTATAATGACCTACAAGCCCATTCATCAGGTACTCACACATCTTTTGTATCCCATTGCCCCAATCACCTTGAAGGCCTCTGTGGCACCCGGAGAGCTGTTTTTGTCAGGGTGGTACCGCAACGCCAACTTCCGATAGGCCTTGCGCAGAACGTCCTCGCTGGCATCTTTTCTAACTCCAAGCACGCTGTAGTAGTTGTCTGTGTCAGCAAACCCTTGGGTGACCTTTTCTTCCTGTGTTTCCTCTTCTTCCTCCTCATCATCGTCGTCGTCTTCTTCCTCGTCATCATCATCCTCCTCTTCTTCGTCATCATGCTGGTGGAATGCAGGCCTACCGCAACTGCCACAACCGGCGTAATGGTTGGCGTTTTGCCAGCAGCCGCTATAATGGCTGTGGGGCGGCTCATAGAAGGCCCTCTCTGCTTCAAACCAACCGCCCCGTATGGCTTGTATGAGCCCGGCCGCCGTACGAGTCGGAAAGAGGCTCTGGGCTTGGTAAAGGTAATTCAAGGCGTCTTCCGTCCTCCCACACTGGAGGCGCACTCGGGCAATCTTTATCAGCATCTCAGCCCGTTGGCGATCCATCTCAGCGTCACCGACCTCCGACCAACAATGGCTGGAAACTTTTTATCAGCGCCTCAAACTTGCAGCTAACAATTAGCGACGGACAACAAAAAATTTGTCACAATTTTCATAGATCTACCTCTTGGGGAACGTGAGGCCCATGGGGCTTGCAACCGTCCGGAATACTCCTCGGCCCTGCAAGAGTAGCTAGAGTCCATTTACGAACATCCAACGGGGAATCCTAAATAAGACTTCTGCGTAGTGGCGGAACCTTTTGTGCAAATTTTCGAAGCGGTCCTTGCCAACCGTCCGAGCCTCATGTCGTATTCGGTGGAGCCTAATTTCGGAATCGGTCAGGTGTTACAACCGCGTTGTTCATTCACGGCTCACATCCAGAGTACGGACACCTGCCGGTGAATAGAAAGGACGCCCCCGGGGATGGAGGTGGGGGAACCTACGGTTTGAGAATTTTCGCTTAATCAAAGCTCCAGCCTCTTTTGTTAATGGAAGAGGGAAAAAGAGAAGGAGGATTCAGGATGAGAGGGAATGGTGGATCCAGAAGATTTAAATCCAGCAGTTGGGGTGACGAGCTCCGGATGATGCCGTCGTGTTTTCATTCCCGTAGCCACCTGCACCGCGGCGTAATACTAATCCCTGGAGTCTCCCTTTTTATAGATTAAATTAGCCACGGCTACAGAGGCCAGGCATCATATATCGCTGGCAAGCTTCCACCTCCCCTTCCCCCCACCGGCCCTATAAAAAGCCAAGGCTGCTGGATGCAGCTGCCTTTAAGACGACACAAGCACTACAGACAGCAGCAGCTGATGCTAAACCCAAGGCGCTTCCTTCCTGCCCCGGGGCACGCTGGGAAATGTAGTCTTCCAAGCAGCAGACCATTGTATAATAGGCAGCTCACGTATCTGGTCTTATATCAGCGTGTCTTTAATAATTAAATCATTGCATGATATAAATAGCATCCTTTGATTCTTTTTTTTGCTTTTTTAGAAATTTATTATTATTATACAATACAGGATTTATATTATTATTATTATTATACAGGATTTATATTATTACTATTATTATACAGGATTTATATATTATTATTATTATTATACAGGATTTATATATTATTACTATTATTATACAGGATTTATATTATTATTATTATTGTTATATAGGATTTATATTATTTATTATTATTATTGTTATACAGATTTTATATATTATTACTATTATTATACAGGATTTATATTATTATTATTATTATTATTATTATACAGGATTTTATATATTATTATTATACAGGATTTATATTATTATTATTATACAGGATTTATATATTATTATTATTATACAGGATTTATATTATTATTATACAGGATTTATATTATTATTATACAGGATTTATATATTATTATTATACAGGATTTATATTATTATTATTTTTATACAGGATTTATATAGCGCCAACAGTTTGCTTTTTTTTTTAAATCTATTATTATTATACAATACAGGATTTTTATTATTATTATTATTATTATTATTATTATAATACAGGATTTATATTATTATTATACAGGATTTTATATTATTATTATTATAATACAGGATTTATATATTATTACTATTATTATACAGGATTTATATTATTATTATTATAATACATGATTTATATTATTATTATTATTTTTATACAGGATTTATATATTATTACTATTATTATACAGGATTTATATTATTATTATTATTATACAGGATTTATATTATTACTATTTTTATACAGGATTTATATTATTATTATTATACAGGATTTATATATTATTATTATTATTATACAGGATTTATATTATTATTATTATACAGGATTTATATATTATTATTATACAGGATTTATATTATTATTATTATACAGGATTTATATATTATTATTATTATTATACAGGATTTATATTATTATTATTATACAGGATTTTATATATTATTATTGTACAGGATTTATATTATTATTATTATTATTATACAGGATTTATAAATTATTATTATACAGGATTTATATATTATTATTATTATACAGGATTTATATTATTATTATTATTATTATACAGGATTTATATATATTATTATTATACAGGATTTATATCATATTGATGTTGACTGGTAAAGTGTTCTCTGTACAGCACTGCAGAATATGTTACAGTATATAAATGAATATTATTAATAATAATAATAATAATAATAATGTGAAACTGTGCTGATGCATCAGAATGTAAGCTCTACTACAGGGATTTTTGTAAGTGGTTCACTGTTCTCTGTACAGCGCTGTGGTACAGAGGTGTCCCTAAGGTTGGTGTCACCCGGTGCCGTAACACTTGCTGACACTCCCTCCGATGATCCCCGCAGAATGGATCGGATCTGCGGATTGAGCATAGTGGATCGGACTCCGATCCATTATGCTCAATCCGCAGATCCGATCCATCCTGCAGGGATCGTCGGCTTTCTTTACAACTTACCTTTTCTTGGAGCGGTCCGGTGTCACCTCTGTGTTCCCGCAGGATCGTCGGCATGCAACCTATAGGGGGTGACACCGGACCCGCTCCAAGAAAAGATAAGTTGTAAACAAAGCCGACAATCCTTCCTGCGGGGATCGTCGCTTTGCTTTACAACTTACCTTTTTGTAGAGCGGGTCCGGTGTCACCCCGTGCGGTCGGTGTCACCTGGTGCGGACCACACCCGCCTCGGGACGCCACTGCTGTGGTATATGTCAGAGCTATATAAATGTACAATAATAATAGTGTGTGACAGTAGGTGGACAATAGAGTGTAAGCTCCTCTGGTACAGAGACAGGCCCAGTGTTCTCTGAACAGCACTGCGGTATATGTCAGAGCTATTTACGTAAATGTATAATAATAGCATGCAACTGCGCTGGAGTGTAATGTATTTTTTTTTTTAAAATCTTATAAACAAACATAATAAAAACATATATACATACAGTTGCAAGAAAAAGTATGTGAACCCCTTGGGATTACGTGGCGTTTTGCATGAATTGGGCATACAATGTGCTCTGAACGTCATCTAAGTCACAACAATAGAAGAACACAGTCTGCTGAACATAATACCACACAAACATTAGATGTTGCCATGGTTTAATTGCACATAACATGTAAACATTCACAGTGCAGGGAGGAAAAAGTATGTGAACCTTTGGACTTAATAACTGGTTGACCCTCCTTTGGCAGCAATAACCTCAACCAAACGTTTCCTGTAGTTGCAGATCAGACCTGCACAATGATCTGGAGTCATTTTGGACCACTTCTCTTCACAAAACTGTTTCAGTGTAGCAATATTCTTGGGATGTCTGGTGTGAATCGCTCTCTTAAGGTCATGCCACAGCATTTCAATCGGGTTGAGGTCAGGACTCTGACTGGGCCACTCCAGAAGGCGTATTCTGTGCTGTGGCAGCCATTGTTTTGTTGAATTACTTGTATGCTTTGGGTCATTGTCCTGTTGCATCACCCATCCTCTGCGGAGCTTCAGTTGGCGGACAGATGGTCGTACGTTTTTCCTGCAAAATGTCTTGATAAACTCTGGAATTCATTTTCCCATCAATGACAACAATCCGTCCAGGCCCTGAGGCAGCAAAGCAGCCCCAAACCATGATGCTCCCTCCGCCATGTTTTACAGTGGGGATGAGGTTTTGATGTTGGTGTGCTGTGCCTTTTTTTTCTCCACACATAGTGTTGTGTGTTCTTCCCAAACAACTCAATCTTGGTTTCATCTGTCCACAGTATATTTTGCCAGTAGTGCTGTGGAACATCCAGGTGCTCTTTTGCAAACTTCAAACGTGCTGCAATATTCTTTTTGGCCAGCAATGGCTTCCTCCGTGGTGTCCTCCTATTCTTGATCGTAGGTCTTCTGAGAGCTCTTTTCTGCGAGGCATGGTTCACATCAGACAGTGCTTCTTGAAACCAGTAAACCCAAAACAGGTGTGTGTTTTTTAAGGGCAGGACAGCTGTCAGCAACACATCCAATATCATCACACTGATTGGAGTCAAGGTTGGCTCGCTCCTGGCTCCAATTAGCTCTGGGAGAAGTCATTAAGCTAGGGCCTCACATACTTTTTCCTCCCTGCACTGTGAATGTTTACATGTTATGTGCAATTAAACCATGGCAACATCTAATGTTTGTGTTAGTATTATGTTTCAGCAGACTGTGTTCTTCTATTGTTGTGACTTAGATGACGTTCAGAGCACATTTTATGCCCAATTCATGCAAAACTCCACGTAATCCCAAGGGGTTCACATACTTTTTCTTGCAACTGTATATGCATAATAAAAAAAACAAATAAATACATTTTATATATATATATATATATATATATATATATATATATATATATAAACAAAAATAGCTTACTTCAGCATAGAGAGCAATAAACGGCTTTCTTGCCAGGAAAAACATAAACAGAACTAATCATATTTTAATAGTTTAATATTATTATTATTATATTTATATTGTATCTCAACAAACCCGACCTTCACCTAAACACCCCCTCATGCTGCTAAGAAGCGATGAAACATTGGTCCCATGCATGCAGGCTTTTTAAAAAAAATCTGATTTTACAAAAATCTAGGGGACGAGAAAGGACAGAAAGAGAAGCCACGCCCCCAGAGACTGACAGACAGCAGCTACGGGGACCTGACATTCCTCCACGCCTTTGTCCAGGCTCCCGGCCGCCACCTGTCCTTCTCAAGACCCCGAATCTTCCCAACCTCACCAGAATGTTGTTTACCACCACCTCCACAGGAAGGACTTTTTTGTGAACGAAAACCTGACACCGTGCATTCCACGTGTAGTAACGGAATGCTATGCTAACTAGAAAAAGTCCCGGAGAGTTTGAAAGACACCGTAAAACCATTCCGCATAACTCAAGCGGGAAAGGAAAGGGATCCCCAGAGCCCCACCCACTCGCTTGTAGACTTCTATATTGAAGAGGCACTGAATAAAGAAATGGTCAATCGTCT